GTGATCAGGATTGTATTGTGAGTCCTTTCCCTGAAATGTGCATTCCCCACAAAAAAGTCCCTCAATTCCAGCCTTTTCTTCTTCTCATCTCTGTTATCCACTGCTTCCAGATTCTTCCCCAGCTTTTCCTCTGAGTGGGCCATACACCTACTCTGAAACTTTCGGTATTTCCTGACATACAGTTTTTATCCTCTGGGAAATAAGTTTTATGTAAAGAAAAAAGGTAGGACATATTTACAGCTTTTTTTATGTGTGGTACTGGGGGTTGAACTCAGGCCCTTGTGCTGCTAGGCAGGCACTCTGGTGTTTGAGCCATGCCCCCAGCCCTTTTTTGCCTTGGTTATTTTTGAAATAGGGTCTGGTCTCAGTGTAATGCCCAAGTTGGCCTGGACCATGCTCCCCTCCCATTTGTCCAGGCTGGGCTTTTTTTTTTTATTTTGGGAGGTGAGTAGGACTAAGGTTTGAACTCAGGGCTTCATCCTTGCAAAGCAGGCACTCTACTGCTTGAACCCAAACTCCAGTCCATTTTACTCTGGCTATTGTCGAGATGGGGTCTTGTGAACTATTTGCCTGGACTGGCCTTGAACTGTGATCCTCTTGATCTCAGACTCCAAAGTAACTAGGATTATAGACCTGAACCCTGGGCACCCAGCCCAGGCTGGCCTTGAACTGTGACCCTCCCAATCTTTACTTCTTGAGTAGCTAGGATTATAGGCTTGAGCTACCACATTTGGCCTCCGACTCTTAAGTAACTTCTCTGCTTAGTAGGTGAGAAATATACATATATCATTTTTTTTACAAAAAGGTCCAAGATTTTATATAATCAAGGGCCGCAATGCTAGATCTATATGGGGTCTATATGGATATAGGTTTGTAAATAAACTAGAACAGAATAAGCATGCCTTCTAAAATTCCCCTCTGTGTTGACTTGGCCAGTGTCTTTGTAAGTTGTTCAAAACCTGGTGGTTAATTTCCACCTCTGAGCCTTTGTTCAAACTAGTCTTCCCATCAAGAATGAGAACTTGGGCTGGGGTGTGAGCCGTCACTTAGCAGCGGTGGAGCGCTTGCCAAGCCTCAAGGAATATCAAACACTATGGGTTAACTTCTCTCTTCTTTTCTCAGTCTGGTCATTGATTGAGGCCCTGGGTTCCATTCCCAGCACTGGCTCTAGGTCCTAATGGATACTAACCGTAGCCTGGCCAGTAAGGGCTCTGGGGGAGGGGTAGCCCTTGGCTAGATAATGATCACCATTGAAGGGGGACATCATTCAGGATGAGCTTTGCAGGACCCCACCAGCCTTATCACCTATGGTTTTCCCAGCCTCCCCAACAGCAGCTGCAGTTACTTTGATTAATTTTGAGTTTAGGACATGATCTGAGATCATTCACCAGAAGTCTTGCCCTGAAGTGTGCACTGTAAAAATTAATTGTCTTAAAAACTGTGGGTCACTGTTCATTTATTTGACAAATACTTATGGAGTGTCTTTTCTGCTCATCAGAGGGGTAGCGCACATTCATTGTAATTCCCTCTAGAGATGAAAACCCTAATTGGCCCACATGTTAGAAGAGCAATGTTACTTTGCTAATTAGCTGTTTTGGGTGGATATATTTATGTGATTGTGAACTGTGGGTTCCATTTATTCTTTCTGCCCTTCAGGAGTGATTTCCAGCACAGGGCTCCTGAGCTTGAAGGACTGCCTGTATCATGTTTATCAATTATTAATATTTCCAAAAGCTGAGCAACACAAAGGCAAATTAAAATCCAATTTGTAGCCCTTCGGTTGTGTAGCCTGGTCTGTCATGCTGATCCGAAGCTCTGATTGGTAGCTGCTTCAGTGTGCTTTTGATGAATAAAAAATGAGGCAAAAAAAGAATTCTTAGCTAACATACTTTGCCTGGCAAATCTCTTTCAAGCCATCTAGTTTGGGGGTTGGGTTAGGGAAATAATAACCAGAGCCTTCTAGTCAGCACAGAATTGCTTACATCCTAGATAAATAGTGCTTGTTAAAAAAATACAAAGAAATTTTGCTATTAAAATAGGCTGGACTGCATAGTGGTATATATTTGTAATTTCAGCACTCAGGAGGCTGAGGTAAAAGGATTGTGAGTTCCAAGCCAGCCTGGGCTACAAAGGGAGATTCTCAAAAAAGAAAAAAAGACTGGATGGTGCATCCCCATCTTATCTATAGAAGGTTGTGGAAGAACTCATAGCCTTCTTCACCCCAGAAGCAGGTACTTCAGGATACAGCATCCTGAAGTCCAGCTGCAAGGAGGCCACAGCTCTGGATGTATGTCCAGGGCCTGTGTAAACCCCAGCATCTATACCTTTCTGGGGCTGAAGGAGTAGGAAAAAGGATGTTGAGGTGTAGACACTTTGCACTCGGGATCTCCAGGAACAGGGTCTTTGGTGGATGGTGGGGTCAATAATGGTTCTGGAGCCTCCTCCAGCCTCAGATGCTCTGTGTGAGCCAGGGCTCACCAGCCATCTGTCTGTGAGGCTGATAAGGAAGGGTCAGGAATCTCACAGAGCAAGAGGAGCTGGCCTGGTGGTGACAGGCAGGCCCCAAGGGACTGGGGTGCCTGGGCAAGAGGGAGGGAGTGATCAGGAGGAAGGCATCTTCCAGAGGCCTCCGGCTCTTGTCACAGGAACAATATCTCATTCTGCAGCTGGCCTGTTGAAAAGTTAATGAAGGGAAAAGAATTCTTGGGAAATGATTGATTAAAACAACTGTGGAAATTTTCGAGGGAAACTGGTTTCCAAAGTTCTGCATGTTTAAACATCCAGGAGGCTTTGGACATGAGAGCAGAGTATCTGTTTCCCATACTGAAGGTCTTGTGCTAAGAATTAGGCATTTCGGTTTCTTTTTCTCATTTTTATTTGGTGGCACTGGGGTTTGAACTCAGGGCCTCATGCTTGCTAGGCAGGTGCTCTACCACTTGAGCCACTCCACCACCCAAGGATCTTGGTTTCTTCAATGGGTTTTGCTACTAGTCTTATTATATAAGCACAACGAGCCTTAATTTTTGTATGCAGCCTATTTTATACCTTTTAAAAGTATTTCTGAATTATGAAAGGAACATAAGGTTATGGAAAGGTCAGGGGATTGTACTCTGTTATCATGCAATGCCCCACCCACTTTAATTAGTATGGTGTCCTCTCTGGTCTTCTGTTACTTGCTGTGTTTTACTGGTGTGATGACAAATGGCATGTATTTTTGTATACTGCTTTTTTCACAAAATGTAATACTGTAAATATTCCTTATGCTGTTAGTGTTTATCATTTTGATTAGTTGCATTAAAGTCCACTTTCTTTTTTTTGGAAGTATGATTTTTTGAACTCAGGGCCTTGTGCTTGCTAGGCAGGTGCTCTACCTCTGGAAACTCCCTTCCCACCCTTCATCCCTTTTTGCTTTAGTTGTTTCTCAAATGGAGGCTTGAGTTTTTCCCCAGGGCCAGCCTCAGACAGAGATCCTCCTACCTGGAATGCTAGGCACATATCAGCATGTCCAGTTTGACGGTTGAAATGGATAACCTCTTTCTGCTGGCAGCCATCCCTCCCGATCTCTGCCTCCTGAGTAGCTAGGATTACAAGCATGAGTCTGTTCAAACTATCCTTTCCTCAATGAGAGCATTGAGGTGATCAATGTCTTTCCCCGCCTGTATTTAAATAGTCTTATTAAGCAAGTTCCTGGGAAATCACCTTGCTGGTTTAGCTCCACTTAGAGGAGCAGAGGGAACAGAGCAATTGCAGGGTCATCATTCAGTTTAATTAGACAAGTGAGTTTTTGAGCCCTTCCATGCATGAGGCTTTCTGTCTGTGCGGTTATCTGTCTCAGGCCTCTCCAGAGGTTTCCTGAGAATATGCAAAGACTTTAAACCCTCACCAGTTATGGTAACTGTAGGTAAAAGGCCAGTGTGAATCTATGTAAAGTCTCAATTCCATATTGCTATTATTTTTGCAGTGCTGAGGATGGAACCCAGGGCCTCACACATACTAGGTTAGTGCTTTCACACTGAGCTACAGATCCAGCTCCACATTATTTTTAAATAATCACAGAAGTTTTGGCATGAGAATACCTATCGTTTCCACGTCTTCCTTCTAAGCCATGTTATGACCTGGACAGGGAATGTCGGTTGTGTGCTAGAGGCTAGGCCTGGCAAGTCTTGGAAACATTTTTTCAAGCTTTGATATTTTGACCTATTTCTCTGCAGTCTTGTTCAGAATAATCATTGTCATGTTTGAACTGCAAAGAGTGACTATTCCCACAGCCTGGGAGGGTCAGGGGCTCCTGCTCATCTGTGGCCAGGCTTCTTCAAGCTTCCATGTGATGTTGCAGTACAATGTCAACAGAAGTGTGCTCTCATGCCTCTGTGAGCATCTGTAGCACAAATTCAGAATGTTAGACCAAAGAGTGCTGCCTCAGTTTCTCCTTCAAGCCCTCAGAAGAGCTCTTCCCTGGATCAGGCTTGATGTGTGGTGTCCAGTGGTACCGGGCTACTCTGATGGTGTTTAGCTAAGAGGTTGGTTAGAACTTTCTTTCCATGGGTTTATCAGTCACATAGAGCCAATGTCAAGGGTAGCCAGATCTGTCCTAACTGTTGGGGGGTTTCTATCAAAGCCCTTCCAGGCGTTTCTATGTAGGCAGATCAGTAATAGAAGGTGTTCTGATGACACCACCAGAGCATCTCTTCTTTCTCAAGTTTTATGGGGGATCAAACGCTAACTAGCGCCGTGATCCGTGCTTCTTGAAACTCGCGTTAAATTTTCAGGAGTGATTTTAATCATCTTGTTATTTTGAGATTTATTTTATGGGATTGCACCAGGCCTATGCCTGCAGAAGCTTGCCCAGCGCCGGTGGTGGCTGCTCTGCTCTTGGGCTCAGGGGTCTGGTCTGCCCGCCCCAACCTGTTTCGGAGCGGGCAGATGGCTGTGAACCAGAGACTTTACTCGTTCTCGGGGCGGGGCCTGGCGGCTGGAGGGACACGTGTGCCGGAGGGAAGCAGGAAGTGACTGCGGGAGTGGAGCGGCCGAGCGGGAGCGGCGGGGCCGATGGAAGTGGAGTGGGGGCTAGAGAGGCCGCCCTAGTGAGTCGGCTTTTCTCTCCTTCAGCACCTGTGGTTGGGCTGGAGGCCCGGGGGCCGGGGACATCACGACAAGAGTGTGGGACTTTAGGGCAGCGACCTGGAGCTTGCCAGGGGATGCCTTTGGAGAGAAGAGGGACTGGAGAAGGAGCAGGAAGGCTTTGGCAGGTGGCAGAGGAGGGAGGGGGCCCGGTCCCCTCTCGGCCCCTCTCCAGGCTGAGCTGGAGGCAGTGACAACGCAGTGACACGCATCCTTTTAGTCCTCTTCATTCATTACTTCATAGTGGGTGTCGGGGACCCAGGAACCCTGGGAGTGGAGGTGGCTGCAATTGCAGCAGCTTGGAGGTCCCTCCCCTCGCTCTTGGGCTTTCTCAGGAATCTGGTTAAACCTGCAGCAGGTCTGGGAGAGGCCTGAGATTCTGCGTTTCCAACTCCCAGCTCAGCTGGTCCGCGGACCACACACTTTGAGTAGCAAGGTGTGGAGAACTTTTCCACAGGCAGACCGGCCCACTTCTGAATCCTCTGCTGGCTTCCCCTGGGGAGTCCCATCAGTGTGTTGTGTGCCATCTCACTAAGTCCCAGGCAGGGTTCCAGTCCTCCACCTTACCAGCATCTTGGAAGGGAAAGCAACAGGTTTGAAAGGGGGCGAGGAAACAACAGAAGAAAAAAAAAGAAATGTTTTATGAGCCAGGACCACTTCGTGTGGGCTGCTGCAGCAGAAATGTGCACACGCTTAGGGTTGTGTTGGATTCTTTGAAGCTGGAGTGGGCAGAGAAAGAGCCTCTCTTCTGCTAACTCAGGTTGGGGTTCACAATAGTAATGTCCAGCTCAGGAAGTCGCTTTGCAGGTGTGGTGGCTGGTGTGCCCCGCTCCTAAGGTCTACCTGTGAGAGACAACTTTTGCTCTCTTGGAAGTTTTTATCAGCTTTGCCAATCCCCTGCAGGGCAAGAGGATTCACTTGCTAAGTTCTGAGTCTTCTAGAAGCTGTCCAGGTTTAGATGGGTGCTTCCCACACCCAGGTCCCCCCGAAACTGGGTAAGGTGCAGTCTGATTCTACACTTCTAAGTAGCTCCCAAGGGGAACCACTGCTGCTGGTTCTCAGACCACCCTATGAGTAGTGAGATTGTCAATCAGCAAATGGAAGAAACTTCTCCAAGGGGCACTAGGCTTGCATTGCCCGTGTTAAATGCTGTTCTTGTTGGGAGGGAAAGAATGTGGTCTTGCTTTTTCTTTTCTTACTGTGCTCAGGTGTAAGTGGGGAAGGGCTTAGAAGAGGGTTGTCCTATTCTACTAACCATCAGGAGCACCCACGAGCTCCTTTATGCTGTTCCCCCACCTGCAGAATCCACCTTGACTTTGGCCTGTTGGCAAACGAGGATTGTTTGCTTTCTTGGGTAGCTGACAAAGACACATTTGACTCCTGGAGGAACAAAAGGTGTTTTGTGTTATGACCTGTCTGGGTGATAAGTACTAAGAGAATGCTAACTTCGACCTTGTCTATTGAAATGTTTAAAATTTTATCCACAAACAGCTAGACTAGATGGTTGGTGTAATGACCCAGATGTCTAGGTATAAAAATAAACAGACCAGTCTTTTTAGGGTGACTTGACAAAGTGATGGATGTAAAAGGGTGGCTTTTTTTTAAAGAAAAAAATGATCTTTTTTTCATGGTTTGGAGCAGTCACCCATCCTGAGCTTGATTTAGACTATGGGGACCACAATCTGGATCCATAGGTGTTATTTATCTCATACATTTCCCAGCATAGGGGCTGAGTTGGGAATCACCTGGGCCTGTAGCCTTTCCTAGGTTTGAACTGGCTATGTTGCTGAGCCCCTTGGCATAGGCCTGGTCTACCATGCCTATGGTAACCTCTGCCGTGGTTTCCTGAGGGGTCAATAGAGGTGACGTCTTTAGCTCTTGATCTGCAGACCCAGGGTTCCTAGATTCTCTGTACCATGCCTGGCAGAGCTGAGGCTGGTGGGGTCAGGTCCAGCCCTGTGGGGGCTGGAAGGCCAAGGGAGAGCTGAATGAGGCCTTTGAGACGAGGCCCCAAGCCCAGTGTTTGTGTACTGGAACGCAAGGCTGTTCAATAAGTAGGCTCCTCTGCCTTGGAACTTTCCACAGGGAGAGGTGGGACTTGCTGTCATTTCAGAGCTAGGACTTTAAGCATGTTAAAATCAGTAGGAAGTTCTCTGGGTTCAAAGAAGACGCAAGGGCATTTGATTTTCTTTTTTTGGTGGGCAGTAGCTTCACTTCAGTGTCAGCAGCAGCATGCTGAGTTGGCCAGGGGAAATGTCATTCATGGGTCTGTTTCCGTGTCCTTGCTGACTGTCCTGTCCAGGTAAGCGCTCCTTCTGATCAGCAAATATTTTTCAGGGGCTGCAAAGCTCTATTTCACAGGGATACCACCTGTGGAAAAGCATTATCTCTGCTCTCAAGCAGCTAAGGATAGAAAAGCTGAAGGAGGCAGGCCACACAGAGAAAGCAAGGATGTGCAGATGGATGGGTATGGGATGAGGAAAGTCTTCATCATGAAGTTGGCACCAGGAGGGTGCTGGGTTCTGATGGCTGCAGCTATGGAAGGAAGGAATTGCAGGAAGAAGCTGCCTAAGCAGAGACTTGGAGACAGGACCAGCTGGGGCTCATTGAAGGTGCCATAAAGGTTTGAGTTGAGTTGGACCATGGTGCCTGTGCAGGGCTCAGTGGAGACACAGGCATGAAGAGTCGATAGGGGAAATGGAAGGTCAGTGGGTAGAATTTACCCTTCCTCAGCCCAGGGGCCCTCATGGGGAGCTCTGAAGGTGTGATTTGGAGTTTAATGGAAGTGCTTTAAAGGGGCATCTGAGCTAGTCACCTGTATTTGGAGAAGACTGACCACAAATGACAGGAAGGGCAAGTGTGAGGCAGAATGTGTAGGGAAGGCTGCAACATGTCCTCTAGGGGAGCCCTCTTGGTCCAGGTTACACAATCTACATTCTTTGAGCTTCTTCTCTTTGAAACTACTCCTAGTGTTGCAACTTCTTGTGAGGGCTCTCTGGCCTCTCTTTAGGTGCCTCTGTGTCTCCTTTCAGAGTTAGATGGCTTTTGATGCCTTGGGAACCAGCAGTGTGACCTGTGTGCCTGGTCTTTGAGGAGTGTTGAGTTGGTGTGGCAGAAAGGTGCATGCCACCAATCCAGATGGAGGGAAGCCAACTTAGGCAGGGAGGTTAGGAGGCACAAGGACATGTTCATGTCACTGAAAGCGATCTCTAGTGACTCACCCTGTGGCTCTTTCTGCACACAGCTGTATCCAGCATGCTTCAAGGCCACAGCTCTGTGTTCCAGGCCTTGCTGGGGACTTTCTTCACCTGGGCTATGACAGCGGCTGGAGCGGCTCTTGTGTTCATATTCTCTAGTGGACAGGTGAGTACCTCGAGGTTCTTGGGGACCTCCTTAGCAAGGTCTGAACCGGCCCCTCCACACAGAAGCTTGGCAGTTCTTGAGATTCCTGGCCACACCTGTGGGTGGTGAGTGGGTGGTGAGGTTTCTCCCTGCCTGTCTCCCTTCTAGGTCAGGAGAACAGGTGCCTGCTTGCTGCACACAGGTGATGCATTGTCATCTGCCCCTCCCCTGCCTTTGATGACCTGACTCCAGGATGTGGGGGCGAGGAACCCAGATATTCAGTCTCTAACCACTACCTGACTTCTAGCTTCCATTAGTGGACAGTGCAGTGCAGGACCCAGAAAGATTAGTGTCACTGCCCTCCCCTGTGGCCTTGCATTAGCTGGGACAGTTGAAAAGGCCTTGAGGGGAGAGAAAGGGGTCTACTTCCTGCTTACCCCAGCTCTAGGGCTTTTCATTCTTCTCCCTTGGATGAATAAGGGACAGCTCATCCCTCATGCTCCTATCCACTCCTACCCCATGTGTACTTCCTGTATTCTGCTCATATCCCCCTTGCTCACGCTCAGGCCCCACCGACTAATGCATCTCCCGTCATTGGAGACTTGGAACTCAAATCTTCTCAACCCAGGATCACAGAGCACCAGAATTTCAGTGCATAAGATGCCTAGAGATGTCACATTCACAGAGATAGAAAATAAAATGGTGTTTGCCATGGACTGGACAGGTGAAGAGTTGTGCTCAGGGATGGCTCATTTCACTTAGGGTAATGTCTTCCGGGTGCAACCACGAGGTCCCAGGTGCCAGAGTTTCCTTGTTTTAATGCTGAAGAATATTCCATTGTATGTACATACCACATTTTGTTTATTCACTCCTCTTCTGGTGGATGCCAAAAAACTTCCCATTGGAATATTAGATGCAGAGTAGAAAGTGCATAGCTTGATCATTTTCACAATTGCATGTGAAACTAGAGCCCAGATCAAATATCAGCCCTCACAGCTCCTTCAGGCCCCTGTCCAGCCCTACCCCACCCTCACCCTCCACTCAGGGGTGATCCTTCTCCCACTCAACAACAGCAGGGGAGTGTTCCCTGTTTGCTGATTTATTTACATGGAGTAATCATATAATAGGTCCTGTTCTGTGTGTGGCTGAACTTACCCTGTGTATTTACCAGTCTGCTTAGTGCCTCTGCCTACTCGTGAGATGTGTGTGTGTGTATATAAAATGTGTATATATGATGTGTACATAATGTATATATACGTATGCACATATTCACAGAATGTACTATATGTGGTGTGTGTGTGCAGGCATTTTCTCATTGCCATATGGTGTCTATGGTATGTATATGTCCTCTGTGGCATTCCCATTCTACTATCGGGGATTTGGGCTCTTGCAAATAGTAATTCCAAGCATGCATTTCTTTTAGTTGTTACTTGGAAGTGACATGCACTGTAGGCACTTGTCACTGGTGCTACAAGATAGTTTTCCGACATGGTTGTGCCAGTGTGCATTCTCACCTGGGTGAGGGTTTTGGTTGTTCCACACGCTCCTCACCAAGCCTTGAAAGTTTTCATTTTTTGGGTCAGCTGCCTACTCAGTGTTCATGGTCATAATCCCCAGGGGGAGCTGAGTAAGAGAGAATACCTGGGCCTGGACCTCCCAAGCACACCCTGAAAGGATACTTCTGATTGGCCCTACCTCGTGGCTCATTTTATAAACTCAGAAGCTTACCAGCTGAGGCATGGCTCAGTGGCTTTCTGGTTTGCTCTTGGTCCAGGACACATCATCATCTTCTTGTCCCTTGGAAACTGAAACTTCTCGTTTTCCTTTTCAGAGGCGGATCTTAGACGGAAGTCTTGGGTTTGCTGCAGGGGTAAGTTGCATGTAGCAGGAGAAATGTCAATGGAGATATGTTTATTCTGGCCTTTCTCTGTCAAGGGCTATTGCCTGGATGGTTCTGAGTTCTTTCTTTAAGTGCTAATGCCTCTCCTCCATCACTGACCATATTCACTTTCCAACTGATTGGATGTGCCTGCCTCTCTTTATATAGTGAAGGAGGTCTGCTCAGTGGCTGCCTGAAGACTTGGAAAGTAAGATAGTATTTAGGAAGGGTGTTAGCACGGCCTAGCCTGGTACATAATATACTTAACAGTACTTAAGTGCCCCCCACCTTCTCTCCTCTCCTTCCTTCTTAAAGGATGTTTTATTTTATTTTATTATTTGTATTTGGAGATAGAATCTCTCTATGTAGCCCAGGCTGGCCTCGAACTTGCGATCCTCCTCCTTTGGCTTCCCAAGTGCTGGGGTTACAGATGTGAACCACCACACCTGGCTAATGGATGTTTTATTATAGATATTAAAAAAACCAAACAAATAGAATTCTAAGGTACATCCCCAGGTACCCATCACCCAACTTCAATCATGATTGACATTTTGCTAATCTCACTTTATCTGTCTTCCTTTATCCTTCTTGGGAAGTTAGAATGTTTTTGTAAAAGCAAATCTCAGACATCATGTAATTTCACCTGTAAATTCAATACACATCTCTGAGTGACTTAAAAAAACCCCAACACAATCACCTTTCCATCATCACACCTGTCAAAGTGAACAGTCATTCCTTACTATAATCTAACACCAACGTAAATTCAGATTTCCTCCATTTTTCCAAAGGGGCCTTCCAAGATTGTTTTTCTTGAACTGGGATTCACATGAGGTCCTCATGTTACATTAGTTTGTTACATCTTTTAAGTCTCTTAGTCTCTTTTGTTCTTCAGCAATTTTTTAAATTTAATTTTTTTTTAGCATAATTTTTTTTAACTAGGAATTTGTTGGAGAAACTGGGTCATTTGTCTCTAGAATGTTGCACATTCTGGACTTCGCTTATTGCTTTCTTGTGGTGTTGAATAACATGGCTCTCTGTTTTCTGTCTCTCTCTCTCTCTCTCTCTCTCTCTCTGTAAGCCAAGAGTTAGAACTAAGGCTTGGTTGACTTCAGATTTCATTTTTTAAGCCTGAGTACTTCCTGGTGGTGGCATCAGTCATTTCAGAAAGTACATACTGTGTGTTTTCCCTTTTAGTTGATCATGATTTGGTTCCTTTCTGCACTGTTGATAGTCCTGTGATCTGGAAAAACTTGTCATGGGGTAGGACCTCTCTCAGGTCATCTAAGTCAGCAGCTGTCAGATTAGGGCTTGTCCTTCTATGACACAGACTTTCCCAGCTGTACTCAGGTACACAGAGAGGGCACAGAACCAGTTTCCAGGTCCTCAGCTTGCATTCGTTCTCTTTCCTAAAACTGCTCTGAGAATGATCTGGAAGAGCTGGCTCCCTTTTCCCACCTTCCCTCACACAGGTGTGCTCTCTCACTTCACCCAAGAAAGACATGCCCTTGCCTTGTTACCTTGTCTCTGGGCAGCAAGGCCTCCCGTCATGAACAGAGGGGCCCTTGGGATGCTAGTGGTGGTGTGGAGAAGGGACCCTCATCACTGATCCCTGGGCCCAGATCCTTCAGCAATTCAGATGTTTTCCCGGCCTTTGAAGGTGGATCTAATCAGATGCTCAGTCAGGAGAGCCTTAAAAGTCATTTCTCATGATGAGCCACTCTGGGACGTGGGGCCTGTAACTTAATAAGAACTCAAAGAACAGACTGACAGTATTATAATAGACCCCCCCATCTTCTCATTTGCATGAATACCTTTTCTTTTTGCTTAAGTTAATGAAGAGAAAAATGCAAAGAAAAATAGAAGTAAAATCGATACTTAACCCTATCTTAATCTAACAATGGCTACTTAATACTTATTCACGGATATATGAATGACTTGAAAAAAATAAAGGGGTCATTCATTAAGATATGCATTTCCAAGAATATTTAACTTTTTAATGTTTAATAATTAAAGATTGTCTGTTTTTATTGCTATAAATCTCTTCTTTGCTGGTATTGTAATTGTTGTTTAAGCATTAAAAACCTAGGCTCACAGGAAATTAAGAAAAATTCAATTGAAATGTATATAGATGTTTAGATGATAGAGAACGGTCGATGCAAAGTGCAGCTGTTGCTAGAAGGGTGTAAGAATAGTTAATCTGAGTGATTGTGGCTGAGGAGCACAGATTCAGATTACCCTGAATGACATGGTCCACTTGGAAGAGGTCACATGAACTTTTATGGTCACAGAACAAAAGAAAGTCATAAATTAATGCATTTACCAAACACACAGGTGAGGACATCCGGTGAGTGATGGGGGGCACATCAGATAAGTGGTTTCAGCAAAGCGGGGAAATCGCTTCTGTAGTCAGGTGTTATAACATTCGTGGCTTTCGGCTGCTGAAAGCTACTGGTCTGCCGAGTTTAACAGTCCAATCCAAAAGTTTTACCTGATAGTCACAAAAATGTCCATCACATAAAGGGTTTGTAGTAAATGGCTATTACTGAGATCAAAGATAACCCAAGGTCATTTTGGCTCTTCATATGCACCAATCCATCTCCAGAATCATCCGGTTTTAGTCAGCCAGTCAGGCTGCACGGTCTTCAACAGGTAGTAAGATAAATCAATCACAGATTTTCTAGCATGAAATATAAGTTGCTTTAGAATGCAGTTCTGAAATTGAAATACAAATCAAGGACAGACAAAGAATGATGTAAATTGATTGACTTGCTGAAGTGTTTACTCATGGTGTTTTTTTTGAAGTTTAGGCAGAATATAACACACAAACAACATAGTGCATAAAACAGAGGCACACTCCCAGGTGTGCTGGCTCACACCCATAATCCTAGCTACTTGAGAGGCTGAGATTGGGAGGACTGTGGCCAGTCCAGGCAAATAGTGCACGAATCCCCCATCTCCAAAACAAGAGAGCAAGATGGACTGGAAGTGTGGCTCAGGCAGTAGAGTACCTACTTTGCAAGCGTGGAGTCCTTAGTTCAAACCCCAGTCCCACCAAAACTCCCCTCCAAAAACCAAAACAAGCAAACAAAAAAATCTACCCCCTCAAAAACCCCCAAAACCATAAAGGAACATTGCTTAGTTTATATATTATTTTTAAGTGAATAATGGTGGGGATAAAAAAAATCTTTATACCATTTAGATCCTGCTGGATATATTTAGAGGACTGATAAAATAGTTTGTGTTTTGTTTTGTTTTGTTTGTTTGCTTTTTCAGTGCTAGAGATTGGCTCCAGGGCCTAGCACCTGCTAGGAAGGTGCTGTACCACTGAGTCACACCCAAGCTCTGAGGAAACAGTTCCATGTATACAACTCATTATCTTTTGAACTATGAAATGAAAATATTTTAAATGAGGAAAAGGCTACTTAGCTTTCCAACATTCCTATAGTGGGTACACAGATAGAAAATCTGAAGAACCATGTTCTATGCTGTCTTCTCTTTCTGACAGGCATTTGGGTGTTTTGTTCTAGAGTATACTCTTTTTAGGTCAAAAGCTATTGCCAGATTCACAAAGCAAAAGACAAAAAATATCAAACAAGAAAGGAAGCAAACCAACAAAAAGAGAGTGTGATAGTCTTCAGGACATGTAAGAATAAATTTTAGAGCATTAAAAACACGAACATTTAAGATATAGTTTGCATAAAGAAATCACGAGGTCACTATATTAGCATGTTTATTTAACTGTGAGAATCTTCTGAATTTTGAAATAGTTGGTAGGAATATTTGAAGTAGTTAGTAGGAAATTTTGGAAGTTAAATATGTATATTCGTGAGAAAAATCATTTACTCTTGTGGAATTGACCATGAATATGGTGCATAAAGAAACTCCTGGCAGGTCCCACAATATACAGAGAAATTTAAAATGTGATGTGGGAGAGAGTTGGAACACAAATCCAGGAAACTTCGGCAGCACTGATCACTAGAAGTGGATTCTCACCCTTGCTTCTCCAAACCGGGAAGAGATGATAAAGCCCAGGTGGCTTTAAGTCATAATTGCCTGGACTTTTCATGGACTAATTTGTGTTTAATATAGCAAGGGCAGTGGTTCTCAACTGGGGACAGTTTTATCCCCAGGCGGCAGTTGGCATGCTTGGTTATCTCAGCTGGTACCTAGTGAGCAGTGGCCAGGGATGGTCCTGAACATCCTACAATGGCCAGAACAGGATGTGTCACAGTCACAAAAATTCACAAAGCTTCGCTAGTGCCAAGGCTGAGAATCCCTGGTCTAGAACATTTTGGTGTCATCTTCTAGTCAGAGAGTGATGTGAAAAGATGTGAAAAAGTCTTCCCCAACCCATCCATGAGATGCTTTGAGGAAAGATTTTGAAAATGGCAGAAGTGGCCCTGAGTTGGTTGACTGGGGTCCCCTTGTGCCTCCCACAGACACCTGCACAATGCGTGTTATGTGTGCATTGTGGTACATTTCTAACATGACGTGGCATGTGCACAATCTTAATCGTTCACCAAAATAAGTGTTTCTGTAAGAGAGAATCCTGGGACAAGGGACATGTGGATTTTAAATGCTGACCAATGTATTTCACAGGTTCTTTTTCCTCATTGGCAGGGCCTTGGAAGTGTGAATCTGTTCTCCTTAAATGACTCCTCTTGGAATCTATTTAACCATTTTCTCTCCAGATTCCTTGAGTCACCCTGCACGTCTCCAATAATCACCTTCTCTCTCCTCAGTACCTGTATCTCACCTTGATTTTTTTTTTGAGTTAATATGGAGAACTGCTACCATTAAAAAAATAAAGGTAGTCATTGTTCCCTGTTAGAATTCTAGAGTAATACAACTTTAAAGCTAGAGATTGCAGCCAGGCACAGTGGCTCACACCTGTAATCCTATCTACTCAGGAAGCAGAGATGGTGGGGACTGGGATCGCAGTTTGAGTACAGCTCAGGCAAAAAGTTCACAAGACCCCATCTTAATCAATG